GCGCCACGAGAGCAGGGAACGAGGAGGACCGCGCAGGCACCACAGTCTTGAGCGAGCAACTGACCGACGCCGACAACCTGGAGGGAAGCAAAAGGCGGAGCGGAGGATGAGGCGGGAAGGGAGGAGCAGGAAGAGGAGAAGGAGGAGAAGGAGAAGAAGATGTAAGAGAGGGAGTTCGAGGTGGGAACGAGCAGGCGGGGAACAGAAGGAGCATGTGGGAAAGCGGACGGAAAAGGAGGAGCTGGAGGAGGAGGAGGAGGCGGAGGAAAAAGAAGAGAAGGGGGAGAATTAAGACTCAGAAGCAGAGAAGAAGTGAAGGTGGAGGGTCACCCACCCCAGGCCGGAACCGCAGATCGAAGGGGAAGTCGCGGTTTTCGACGTGGAGGACAACTCACTAGTGTCAGAGGCGGCGGCGCTGTGGCTCCTGCAACAGGACCTGTCCCTTCATGGCACGCGTGGCTAGGAAGACACGCCATGAATGCCCCATGAGTACAGCATTCGATCGCTTGTTGAGTGGTTCGTCTTCTTGGGAGGCACTCATGTTGGATCAGCTTGGAGCCATGCTCAAAATTGTGTTGGGCCAACTTGGGCTTTGGCCCTGCTGGGCGATCTTGGAGGATCGCTTGGGATGCACGTCGTTCGTGTCTCACTCTTTCACGGCGGGCTCAATCTGTGGCGATTGGATCGAAAATGTGTTTGTGGCGTCCTATCCTATCGGCTCCTCCTCCTCGTCCTTCTCCTCCTCCTCTCCTCCTCCTCCTCCTCCTCCTCCTCCTCCTCCTCCTCCTCCTCCTCCTCCTCCTCCTCCTCCTCTCCCGCTTCAAAATAGCTTTGAACACAAAAAGCAAATTGACCAACAAGCAAGCAGACTAACTAACTAACAAACCATCCCCAAACACACACACACACACACACACACACACACGCACACACACACATGCACACACACACACACACTTCAGGTCAGCACAGAGGACCCTCACGCGCGAGCAGCAGATGGAAGTGCGAATTGCGATTGAGCAGTGTCGAAGGCACAGTGAACAAAACGTGCACGCTGCCAATGCAGCGATGGGTGGTTTGAAGGAGGATCTGCAAACTCAAGCAACACACATACACACAGAAACACGCCAGGCTCAAGCTCGAGGAGGGCCCGGATCTCGCTCACCCCCCATCGCATCATTCCTGGCCTCTTGACCCCACCCTGGGGCCAGGATATCCGCCAGCGAGGAACATAATGTCAGAAGCGAGAAGGGGGGCCAGAAAGGAAGGATGCGGATCTGGGGCGAGGGAGCCACATGTGGCCTCCTTGGACCCCGTGACGACCCGCGCCCTCCCCTCTCCTCCCCTTTCCGTCCAAAGCACAGGGGGAGCGGCGAGGGAGCGAATCCCCGCCCTAAAAGGAAGGAGGGGGTTGCTGTGGAAGAGCTCAGACTGCTAAGCCAGCTACGCCCAGATGGTTGGTGAGAGTTCGGAGAATCCAGATCTTGTCATCTTGTCCCACGGCTTGCGTCTCTCAGGCACCAGACCGTCGAATTGCCGTAGCTTACGTCTGACATGTACCGATCCTTGACAGTTGTGCACATATTGCCATGACACGGCCTCCGATTCGCATTCCTGTCTCGGGCTTGGCCACATTCTGCTCCACAATTGTGCTCTCAGGTCGGCGCCAGCCAGACTATGTTTACGCTTGGGGAGGCAGTTGACGGGGCGGGAGCCCTGCATCCGATCAGATGGACCCCCCCAACAAGGCTTGCTCTAGAACAATGAGGGCGGGTGTCGAGGGCTTCGGAGATGCAAACTGATGAAAAGCGAGTAAGTGAGCGCGACCATTCTTCGGGTGACCATTGGTTATCATTTATCATCGTGGGTGTTTGTGGTTGTAGAGCGCCTTCTCGATGGTACCCTTTTCGCTCTCATGCCAGCGCGTAACCAGAGGAGGGGGACGGAGTTGGTTTCCACCCACCCACCCACCCCCTCACACCTGAGGCCCGCGCAGAGACACGTGGCCGCATGCAGTGGAAGTGCAGGAGCAGGGCATCTCTGCCGTGCGCGTCCCTGGATTGCCCCGGCGCCCGTGGAGCAGGACCCGCGACCAGCCTCCAGCTCTGGTTCCTTGCCGCCGTCATCGCTGGCGACGCCGCTGGCGGCGCTCACGTCGCGGGCTCGGCCTCAGGGTTTTTGGCAGCGAGGGCCAGCGGGCGACGAGGAGCTTGAGCGCCACACAGCGGGGGCGTGCCCCCCCCTGAGGCCTCCTCCGTCCTCCTCCGTCCTCCTCCTCCTCCTCCGCCTCCTCCTCCTGCGCTGGCCGCGGGTGTGGCGCCCCCGCCAGCTCTCAGGGGGCTGCCCTGAGCAATGGTCCCCAAAGTCCTGCACCTGTACACAATAGCCGGCCCCCCTTTGGAGACCGTCCTGCGCACGAGTTCATACAACCGGGAGAAAGGGGAGAGGAAGGCAGCAAGGAGGAGGGGACAGTCGCGCAAAAAGCGTAGCAGCAGGGGCGGCCCGGCAGGGGAAGGGGAGGGAGGGGGAAGGGAGAGGGGGACGGGGGGCGGCGGCGGTCGTCGGGGTGGTCGCTGTGGTCGTGCTGGAGGTGGTCGTCGTGCCTCCTCCCCCTCCTCCTCCTCCTCCTCCTCCTCCTCCTCCTCCTCCTCCTCCTCCTCCTCCTCCTCCCCCTCCTTCCTCCTCCTCCCTCCTCCTTCCTCGGAGCCGCCGCCCGCATCTGGCCTCCCGCGGCCCCCAGGGGGCCGCGCACAGGAGAGGCCTTCTGCCGTCAGGGGCCGCTCTCGCGCGCCAGCCGTGCAGGGCGCTGCGGGCGCACTCGGCAGCTCTCTCTTTCTCTCTCTCTCTCTCTCTCTCTCTCTCTATCGCTCTCTCTGTGTCTCTTTGTTGTTTCTCTCTCTCTCTCTCTATTATCTCTCTCTCTCTCTCGTTCTCTTTCTCTATATCTCTCTGTATATATATATATACATGTACCTATGCATATATATATATATGTGTATATATATATGTGTGTATGCATGTGCATGTATATATAAAATTCATACATACATGCATGCACACATACATGCATACATACGTACGAACGTACGAACATACATACATGCATACATGCATGCATACATACATACTGACACATACACTTATACATACACATGCACATACATAGAACTATACACACGTACATGCATATGAATATGCATACAAGACTGCATTGGGGCTTCGCGCCATGCGCTTTGTTCCAGACCCTCCCCGACAAAGCATCGTTTGCTTCAGTGGGGGGACCTCGAAGCCTGGACGAGCGACCCGTTCATTTTTCTGATATCTCTGGTGCCTGCTGACACCGCGTTCGCCCGACGTGCTTGCACGCTTCTGCGCAGGAGTGAGGAAGGAATGATGATTTTTCACGCCGAAGGTCCTTTGAGGAAGTATGGAGCGTTCCCATGACACGCCGAAGAATTCGCAGTAGCTCCGGACAAATCGATTTGTTGGTAGCTTCCTGAAAGCCTGGAGGGCCCCCGGCATTCAGGAAATCTTCGATCGTCGAACTTCGAATATCGATCCATTGCCTGTCTCTCTCGATCGAGGATCTTAAGCCGCGAGCCTCAGGCGTGGGACCAAGATCGTCGGGTCAGCTCGATGTATTTCGTAGGAAATAGCCGTCTGCGCGTTTTGGGGTCTCTTTTGGGCCGTCCTGGGGCCCTCTCGGGCCGTCCCAGTGCCTTCTTGGGCCGTCTTGGGGAGCTGGAGCCCTCCAGAGGTCTTCTGAAGCCATCTAGGGTCTACGGCCCTCTTGGGGGCCTCCAATGGCCTTTTTGGTGGTCTCCCATGGCTTTCGTGGGTCTCTCTTGGGGGCCTTCTGGGGGCATCTTGGGTTTTTTGCGGGCAGTCTCGGGGCTCTCTAGGGCAGTCCTGGGGCCTTTTTGGGCAGTCTTCAAGCCCTCCGGGGGGCCTTTTGGGCCGTCTCGGGGCGATATCAGGGGCCCATCGGGCCGTCTTGGACGCTGCGAAATCCCAAACAGCGGAAATGTTAAACTTATACATATCCCCGAGGAAATGGGACTATGTTTGCTTCTTCGGGGCTCTCTTAGCCGCCTCTTGGGCCGTCTCGGGGGCCTCTTGGGCCGTCTTCAGACCATCGAGGTTCCTCTTGGAGCGCTCTTGTGTTGTCTTGGGTCTCTCTTACGCCTCTCCGATGACCCCTCTGATCGCCTCGAGTCTGCTCGCAAGGCCTGGCAAGGCGCCCTGGGAGGCCAGGGGGCCAGAGCGCCCATACCGTACACCCCCATACTGGACACCTCCACTCCACCAGTTTGTGCAGACTACGTGTTTCCAGCAGCATGTGCAGACCCCACCGAACACCCATACCATCTACCTCCACACCACCAGCTTGTGCAGACTACCTCGTCCCAGCAGCATGTGCAGACACCACTGTGCGCCCATTCCGTCCACCTCCACACCACCAGCTTGTGCAGACTACGTCGTCCCAGCAGCAGGTGCAGACGTCACCGAGCGTCCATACCATCCACCTCCACACCTCCAGCTTGTGCAGACCCCACTGTGCACCCATACCGTCCACCTCCACACCACCAGCTTGTGCAGACCACCCGGGGGGGCTCATCCCTGCCACTGGCAGCCGCTGCCATCCCATATCTTTCACTCACGTCCATCACCATCACCATGGATGTCGTCATATACAGATACGGTGTGTGCACTGTTTGGGGTCCACACGGCGGACCGACAAGGGGGACGATTGGGATCGGCCGGACACGTGTGCAATACGAGTTACTCAATATGAACAACCAGACCGTTACTCGACAAGTGCGCAGGCGTCGTGTGTCCACATGCCGGCTCCCTCCTCGACTAGCTCACCGACTCCGGTGCCGACCAGCTCGCCGACTTTCGCGCCGACCAGCTCACCGACTCCTGCATCGACCAGCCGACTCCCGCGCCGACCAGATCGCGGCCTGCCGCACCGAGCAACTTGCTGGCTGTCTCCTCGACTAGCTCTCCGACTCCCGCGCCGACCAGATCGCGGCCTGCCGCAACGACCACGTTTTCTGCTCCCTCATCGGCCAGTTCACCTGCTCTCCGACTCCGGCGCCGACCAGATCGCGGCCTGCCGCACCGACCAGCTTGCCGGCTTCCTCATCGACCAGCTCACCGACTCCAGCAACGACCAGATCGCGAACAAGGCTCATGGGTTTATATTTTGGCGCTATCTGGTACAAGCTATCGTGTCCTCGCACGTGTGTGCGTGGCGGCATCACTCTGGATATTTGGGTGGACCGGCCTATCCGTGCCCTGATGGTCCGCTACCGAAAATTTCCGGTAGCGCTCCGCAGAGATCGGTCGCTACCGAAATACCGAAATGTAGCGCCCAATACCGGTATCAGAGCGTTCTGAAATCAGCTATTTCAACGCCCTCAAACGAAGATCCGGTCGCTACCGAAATTCGGGGCGCGTCGAAATCGCTACCGAAAATTTCCGGTACCAGACCATCTGGGTGACATAACGCCCGGCATTCTGACGTCCACATTCCGGAGAGAATTTAGCCGTCAGAACCGTTTCGGCTCGTGCCCAAAAATGCGTCGTGTTTCCACATGCCGGCTCCCTCCTCGACCAGCTCACCGATTCCGGTGCCGACCAGCTCGCCGACTTCCGCGCCGACCAGCTCACCGACTCCTGCATCGACCAGCCGACTCCCGCGCCGACCAGATCGCGGCCTGCCGCACCGAGCAACTTGCTGGCTGTCTCATCGACTAGCTCTCCGACTCCCGCGCCGACCAGATCGCGGCCTGCCGCACCGAGCAACTTGCTGGCTGTCTCCTCGACCAGCTCTCCGACTCCCGCGCCGACCAGATCGCGGCCTGCCGCGTCGACCACGTTTTCTGCTCCCTCATCGGCCAGTTCACCTGCTCTCCGACTCCGGCGCCGACCAGATCGCGGCCTGCCGCACCGACCAGCTTGCCGGCTTCCTCATCGACCAGCTCTTCGACCCCGGTGCCGACCGGATCGCGGCCTGCCGAACCGACCATCCTGCCGGCTCCCTCATCGGCCAACTCACCGACTCCCGCACCAACTCCCGCATTCCCTCCCTCTCATGTGGTCTGCATGCGTTTCCTGATGAATTGGGGTCTTCAGGCTACCGTATGCACGGGCCAGGCCCCATTACGGCCGACAGCGGCCGACCCCAGCCATTGCGCTGGGCTTGGCCGCCCGCCGCCTAGGTGGGCCCATGCCTGGCGCGATGCCGCCACGCAGGAACACCAGATATAGACTTCACTTGTCCAGACTGTTGTGCTGTAAGCTGTGGGTGTGCTCGGCCGCCCTTCGCCTCCTTCTCGCCCCCCTCTTCTCTGTACTCGGCACGTGTGGGACCCTGGTGCGCGTGCCGCTGTTGGCCTCCGCACCCACGAGCTCTCGTCCTTCGTGACGCCAGGTTTGGATGTTGTGCACTATGCCGACTTGTTCGACCGGGCGTAGCGTAGCGTAGCCGGCAGTCTCGCTCCGTCCGTTCTCCGCTGCTGCTCTGCTCGTTATTTCGTCTCGTCTTCTCTCTGATTTCTTTCTTCGTGTTTCCCTCGTCCCCCGCTGCGTGCTTCTTGTGCTTCTCCGCTGCCCCTTGCTTGCCGTCCGCTGCCTTCTCCGCTTTCTCTCCTTCCTCCTCTAGTGCGTGCGCTCTTGGCGATGTCTCGTGTGACATTCCCAGGTTGCCCGGTGGTCTTCTGTCTCACGTTGTGGAGCCATTTGTGCATGGAAGTCTTGAGGAAGTTAAAAAAGCAAGGTGCCCTGGGAGGCCCGGAAGGGCCAGCAGACCTTTTCCAAGGGCGTCCAGGGGGCGCTGAGACGTCCCGAAAGGGCGTCCAGGGCGTCCCTGGGGGGGGTGTCCGGTGTAGGGGGGGGGCCCGGGTAATTACAATATAAGAATGCGCATATTCACCAGGTTTCTGCGGCGCCTTGTGTGCGGGGTCTTTCGCATGGGCGCAAGACCTTCTCTTGAGATGCTGTGGGTTTGCCCGACACGTCTCGGTGGGCGGCCGGTTTGCGAAGCGGCGTTGGCGTCGGGTGTGGCGGCCCATCGCTGACCGTCCGCGACAGATCGTCGCCCGCCCCGTCGCCCCCCCAAGCCCAGAAATTTGTTGGCTAAAAGTCTCAAGCGATTCGAAAGTCCCGGGCTTAACGATCGCCAGTGATTTCAATTTTCTTGCCGCGGACAACATGTTGCAAGACCGTGGTCGCTTGGAGTTCAGTCATGGAGCGGAGTACCCCTCAAATGGTTCGGGACACACGCTGCTGCGTGAAGAGAATCACGTTTCGCGGTCACTGAAGCTGGGGAGCTGATGAGTCCAAGACGTGGCGATGGAGCGCGACAATAATTTATAGGATAGAGGCGCTCCGCGCTGCACGAGGCGACACCTTAGACAACCTACGAGGACTCTCTGTCGACCGAGGGGGCGGCGTCGGGCGCGCCGCCCTTCCACTGCTGCTGTCAGCGCGTGACGCGCGGGGAGAGCTTTGACGACCTGTGATGACTATCCGTCGACCAAGGGGGCGGCGACGGGCACGCCGTCGTTCAACTCCTGCTGTCAGCGCGTGGCGCGAAGCGAGAGTTTTGACAACAGACGATGGCCATCACGAGCGGCGAACATATCCGTATCCACACCCTCGCGGTCTGAAATCTGGGGCGCGATCCCGCGGATACGCGGTCGCTAGGATACGTCACACGCGGGGCATCCGCGCAAAGACGCCCCGTGTCCGCGGGGCCGCGGCCCAGGAGCCTGGCCCGCGAGGCTGCGGATGATCCGGTTATGTCCGTCGCCCGCGAAATTATCCGCCGACCGAGGTCGACGTCGGGAACGCCGTCCTTCCACCCCCGTTCTCAGCACGTGGCGCGAAGCGAAAGCTTGAACGACCGAATTACAATGACTATCTGCCGACCGAGGGGAGGGCATCGAGCGCGCCGCCCTTGCAGCCCCTTCCTTCCCTCCCACTCCTGCGTCGGGTTCGCCGCCCTTCCACTCCCGACCGTCCGTCGACCGAGGTCGGCGTCGGGCACGCCGTCGTTCCACTCCTGCTCGCAGCTGGTCGCCTCGGCGCCGTCGCAGCTCGCCGGCGCGGCGGGCGCGTTCCGCTGGCCGCAGCGGCAGTCGCGCGACCACGGGCAGGCCCGCGCGCGGGTCGCGCGGGGGCGGCCGCCCGCGCTGCGGGGCAGCTTTTGCTCCTGCGTTTTGCGTCGGCCACACATGGGGAGCGAGGCCCGTTGTGACTGAGGTTAAGTCGGGCGTGTCCTTCTACAGGAGGAATAGTCAAAGCTGGTCCAACAATACTCTGGGGACGATTTTTTTTCTATTCTTGACCATTTGGGGGTATGTTTTCACGATGTGCTTTCTCCCCCAAAATCCGCATATAGGAGGACACGCCCGTTCTAAGTCGAAGTCCAGCTACGCGTAAGATTTGGGACTCCCAGAAACGGTCGGAGCAGATGGGGTCGGAGGATCGCGCCACATCGGCGATGCATCGGTACTGCGGCTCGATGTGGAGACCGATTTTTTCCACGCCAGCGTCGCCGCGGCATCGCCGACGTCGCCAATGCATCGCCGATGCATCGTCGATGCATCAACGATGCGGCGCGATCCTCCGACCACGTCTGCTCCGACCCCATCCGAGAGGCCTCTCTAAGAGCGCCCCTGCGTCAGAGTGACCTCTGGTGCGCAGCGTTCGAGGGGCGCGGGGGCCAAGCCCAGGCACTCGAGGCCGCCTCTGTCGCACCGCACGCCACCACCGACAAGCCGCGCACCAAAGGTCACTCCTGCCTAGGGTCACCCTTGCGTGTAGCTGATAGTGCGAGGAGAAAAGTCGAGGATGAGGACATTAAAATATGTGTTGCATGAGTTTGTTGGCAAAGGGAGCTCAAGCGTCACACCACGAGAATTTCTGAAATCGGGTACTCGGTAATCCATGCTGCACGCTCAGGGCACAGTTGCGGACAGTGCACATGTGGGCAAGAGCAAGGGAAGTTAGTTATCTCATCCACAAGTTGAGTGGGAAACTGTTGCTTCCTCAAACAGTGCATGCACGTAGGGATTCTGACTTGCTTTACCAAGGTAATTGGCTGGGTCAGCTGGGGTGTCGCCTGGTGCCCAAGTGGTGGCCGCCCCCTGAGTTGGGTGGGTCTGCCAGGGTTTCGATTGGTGTTCGCCCGTGGGCGCCCCGTGCATCGGGTGCACCAGATAGTTCGCACCAAAGAGCCTGCACCCACGTAGATATCACAACATTCATCGCGCCACACAGGTTTGACCACGCAGATGGCGCCACATCGATCGCACCACACATAATGCATTCACTGTGACTCACGGCTTGGTGGGTGCAATAATTCATTGTTTGAGGTGTGCGTTGTGTGTTTCTTGAACATGTTTGCGGTACGGTCGAAGCGTTGTGCGCCTACTTCGGCCCCCGCAGTAGTTTCGGAAAAAGAGTTTGCGTTGCAGCATGTTGGCAGGTATGAGTTGGGCACTGGCCTGCACGGACGATGGTGTACAGCGGCGCGCAGCCCACGGGGCCGATCTGGACGCGGGCCCTGAGGCTGTGCGCGGGCGGCAAAGGCGCCGCTGTTGCCGAAGGGCTTGCTGCCGCCAGCCCCGGGATCCACTGGGCAGGTGCGCCGTGGACCAGGCAGGGGCAGCCAGACGTTGGGGTCGCCCCCGGCGGCAGCTGTCTGGCGTGCGGGGCAGAGGAAGACACCCCTGGTCACGGGCTGCACGACGGCGAGGCCCTGCCGCGCGCACGCCAGTCGCGCCCCCCTGGCGGCAGCGAGCTTGGCACGGCACAATTTGTAGCGAATGGGTCGTCGGTAGAGCAGGACGTCCTCCCTGATCGACTGCAGCAAATATGGACTACCATGCGTGACAGGGGCCTGCAAGCAGGCGGCGTGGGGGTCGCGGACGTCAGCGGGTTCGCGCACGAGGCCGGGCCCCCCGTGATGCTGCCGCGCGTGCCGCCTGCGGCCGACCAGGCGGAGGCCGGGCTCCGGGGCGACTGGAGCGGCACGAGCGGCGAGCAGCGCGGGAACATTGCGTTCACCGATGGTTCGGGCTTTGCGAGCAGCATGCCCGAGCTGAGGCGCTGCGGGTGGTCGGTAGTCCAGCTCGGCTCCAACGGGGGGCGCGTTCGCGCGGCATTCGGGGCCCTTCCTGGCCGACTGCAGACGGTGGGTCGTGCCGAGCGACACGCGCCCCTGCAGGTCACCGAGCTCCACCGACCTGCTGTCGCTGGCCCAGGAGGCTAGCAGCTGGGGGCCAGAGCTGGAGCGGGCCAAGGCGGTGCACGCCACGGTGTGGAGGCACCTGCGGCAGCAGCCATGTCGCCCCGAGGTGTTCCGGGCCCCCGCGCGCCAGGACGTCGACGGGCACCTGGCGGCGGGGCTTCACCCAGTGCTGTACGCGGGCAACCTGTGGGCGGACTGGTTCGCCAAGCAGGGGGCATTGCAGCACGAGGTGTCCCAGGTGCACACGGAGTTCCACGCCATCGAGGTGCAGCACTTCAAGCGGGTGGCGGACTACATCGGATGGGCCATGCAGCGCTGCCTGGCCATCGGGGACTGGGCCCCCGAGGCGCACTACGTGTCCGCGGCGCCGCCGCCGCCCGTGCCGAAGCTGACGGCGGTAGAGCGCCCCCTGGCGCGCGTGCAGGGCAAGCGCGGGATGTCGCGCACCGATCGCGGGCGCCGATCCCGCGCTGGGACAGGCGCGGCGGCGCAGCAGGTCGTCGGGTCGAGCTGTTCGCCGACGCCGCTGGCACGCCTCAAGGCGGCGGCTGAGGCGGCACATTTCGGTGCGGGGCCACCCTGGATGGGCGACGCTGAAGGCCTGGATGCCGAGGCGCTGCAGCCGCGCAACGGTGGCAGACCCTGCATGCTGGCGCAGAGGCCGAACCCTTTGCTGCACGAGGGTGACGGCCGCGGCGCGGCGCTGCGCCTCGGGCATCGGCTGCGGCGCGCGGGGCGCCATCTTCTGCGAGGTCTGCGTCGCGTGGATGC